GGTTTAAAATATAATATATAGTTGATACTTGTTGAATCAACAAACCCTGTTTAAAGCTCGGCAATAAATCAGAATAGCATTTTGGTACAAGAGTAGTATAAGTTTTAAAATATTAAAATTGTCATTGAATACAGAGGACATTCATACTGCATTAGAATTACATACACAATACGCTAATGATGAGACAGGTTAGCCACATTACAAGAAAATGAAGACAGAACTGATTTACTTACACACAGAAACATTAACTCTAGGAAACATCTGCTGTTAACGTATCACCATGTTTTCCATGCTTAGGAAAGGTTGCCATGTTTTTTCAGTTGTTCTGACAACTTAAGCATATTAGCTCTTTTTTCTGGGTCTTATGGTTTTCATAATTGGAAGGCTGGCTCAGGGGTGCTCTCTTTAAAGCGTTAGAGCAGAGATATTCAGATCCTCATGCAAATTGTTTTACTTTTTATTTATTAATACACATCACATTTGGGCTGCTGATATTTCAGAGCTATATCAAGGGCCATATATATATACAGTGCCTTGCGAAAGTATTCGGCCCCCTTGAACTTTTAAACCTTTTGCCACATTTCAGGCTTCAAACATAAAGATATAAAACTGTAATTTTTTGTGAATAATCAACAACAAGTGGGACACAATTATGAAGTGGAACGAAATTTATTGGATATTTCAAACTTTTTTAACAAATAAAAAACTGAAAAATTGGGCGTGCAAAATTATTCAGCCTCTTTACTTTCAGTGCAGCAAACTCTCTCCAGATCTTCAGTGAGGATCTCTGAATGATCCAATGTTGACCTAAATGACTAATAGTGATAAATAGAATCCACCTAGTCTCCGTATAAATGCACCTGCTCTGTGATAGTCTCAGAGGTCTGTTTAAAGTGCAGAGAGCATCATGAAGAACAAGGAACACACCAGGCAGGTCCGAGATACTGTTGTGGAGAAGTTTAAAGCCAGATTTGGATACAAAAAGATTTCCCAAGCTTTAAACATCCCAAGGAGCACTGTGCAAGCAATAATATTGAAATGGAAGGAGTATCAGACCACTGCAAATCTACAAAGACCCAGCCGTCCGTCTAAACTTTCAGCTCAAACAAGGAGAAGACTGATCAGAGATGCAGCCAAGAGGCCGATGATCACTCTGGATGAACTGCAGAGATCTACAGCTGAGGTGGGAAAGTCTGTCCATAGGACAACAATCAGTCGTATACTGCACAAATCTGGCATTTATGGAAGAGTGGCAAGAAGAAAGCCATTTCTTAAAGATATCAATAAAAAGTGTCGTTTAAAGGTTGCCACAAGCCACCTGGGAGACACACCAAACATGTGGAAGAAGGTGCTCTGGTCAGATGAAACCAAAATCGAACTTTTTGGCAACAATGCAAAACATTGTGTTTGGCGTAAAAGCAACACAGCTCATCACCCTGAACACACCATCCCCACTGTCAAACATGGTGATGGCAGCATCATGGTTTGGGCCTGCTTTTCTTCAGCAGGGACAGGGAAGATGGTTAAAATTGATGGGAAGATGGATGGAGCCAAATACAGGACCATTCTGGAAGAAAACCTGATGGAATCTGCAAGAGACCTGAGACTGGGACGGAGATTTGTCTTCCAACAAGACAATGATCCAAAACATAAAGCAAAATCTACAATGGAATGGTTCACAAATAAACATATCCAGGTGTTAGAATGGCCAAGTCAAAGTCCAGACCTGAATCCAATCGAGAATCTGTGGAAAGAACTGAAAACTGCTGTTCACAAACGCTCTCCATCCAACCTCACTGAGCTCGAGCTGTTTTGCAGGGAGGAATGGGCAAAAATTTCAGTCTCTCGATGTGCAAAACTGATAGACATACCCCAAGCGACTTACAGCTGTAATCGCAGCAAAAGGTGGCGCTACAAAGTATTAACTTAAGGGGGCTGAATAATTTTGCACGCCCAATTTTTCAGTTTTTTATTTGTTAAAAAAGTTTGAAATATCCAATAAATTTCGTTCCACTTCACGATTGTGTCCCACTTGTTGTTGATTGTTCACAAAAAATTACAGTTTGATGTCTTTATGTTTGAAGCCTGAAATGTGGCAAAAGGTAGAAAAGTTCAAGGAGGCCGAATACTTTCGCAAGGCACTGTAATATATATATGTATATATATATATATATATATATATATATATATATATATATATATATATAACTACGATGCAGTTAAATACAGGCTTAATGGATCAAGTACACTTGGCAGATCCATCTAGTTTGTTTTTTGTGACTTTAGACACGCTATCTGTGAATGCCAGTGTTTGCACAGCAGCTTCACAACAAAGGCGCACGACTGCTTTCACCATCAGATGAATATATTTTGGAGGCCAGAAAGCGATGTTTGATCAGCGGCTTCTGATCTACCTTCAAAAAAACTGTACCTAAAATGAATTGGTCACATCTGGCTAAAAATGCCTCAATGCCCCATTTTACAACATAAAGCAATTGTATAACTACACATTAATGATTTATATTGGATTAAAATTCCATGCATCCCTAAAGATGGTCTTTTATGTGATTATATGCTCACAAGCTACATATCCCGTCCCTCCTCCCACACACTCCTTTATACTTAAAGACTTTTGGAGGTGTTTGCAGTGAGCTTTTTGTATATGTAACAGTGTAGGTTTATATTGGACAGCCACTCAAAAAGCACTCAGCAGCTCCCTGGTAGCCTTCAGTCACACACACAGAAAGACAAAAGTTCAATCACTGAACTCCTACTTCAGCCATCCGCTGACTCCATCAGGCTGTCGGAGCAGCAGCTCCACACATTAAAGCGTCATTCTCCTCGTTCTCCTCAGCCTCATCAGCCTTCTCTTTTTTATGACTCTCACAATGACCATTTTAATTCTCATTTTCAATATCATCCTCCTCCTGATCACCATCATTACATCGCCATCCTCTAAATTGCCATCATCCTTTTTTTGTGTATTCTCAGCGGCACTGTCATCATTGCACATGAAAGGCATCCCTATTAATAATAATGCATACATATAAAGCATTCATTTGGAAAAACTGGCTAAATCTGGTTGTGCAATCGTGATGTATTGATTACACTTTTAAATACGTTTCTGTAAAAATTAATTACAGGATTAACCACTGGAAAGGCTTAGTTTCTTTATTAATTCAAAAAATAGCATTGTTGGCTTGGAGATCTGGGTGCTTGTCTCTGACGTGCAATATCGACCCTTCCACCCTGCTGCAAATTAAAGTGTTGGCTCCTGAACCTGGGTGTTTTTTGATTATAGTAAATGTAACTACAATACGGAATGGCTCGTAGGTCGAGTGCGTGATGCTAGGGAGTGTGTTTGAGTGAGGTATTAGGATTCCAATTATGAGAATGTTTATGCCTGCGTAAAGCCAAAGCTTGCTTGAGGTGGACAGACTTTGTCCCGTATTTTCCTCCACAACTTTGTGCACCTCTCGACCGGCAAACCAACGTTTCCGGCGATCTCCCTCCGTGAATCCAACCCGCCAATGACGGCTTGTAGAAGTCATATATACACATTTATTCTGACAAAAGTTCTTCAATCTGATAAATTCTCTCGTAAACATTCTTCGTTTTAATAATGGCAGTATCGTGCTATGAAAACGGAAAAGTGAGACTTTGTAAGGCTTTGTGAGGCTCGCGTTTTTTCAGTCTTTCGACGCAAGCCTAGAAAAATGGGTCGACGCAGGCAAGGAGGTGTGAAAAGGCACGCAAAAGGGACACGCAAGGGGCTCTTGCGTCTGCGTTTCCTTGCGTCGCTCTGAAAACGCAGAAGCACAAACTAGGCTCTTTACTCCTGGATGTTTTGCGTCGCCTCAAACGCGCTAAACGCGGCGCAGACTCGCGGGGGCGACCACATGTGTTCAATCCGGAAAAATCGCAGCATTCGTGCTCCAACGCTCATGTTTTTTTTCTCTGTCTTTTTTATCATGGGTTTGCCATTTTCAGAGCAGAGGCCCAAAAACAGCCCAGAATTTCCTGGCAAGAGATGTTTGCTTTCTTTTGTCCATCCCCTGTTTTTACGACCCAACCACATACACTTGTCTCTATTGACATTGACTGTTATATTTGTGGTTTTTAAGAATAAATACAGGTCCAGAATCCCTCTCTTGCAGGTTGGCTGGGCGAATTACCTTCCTCCCCGTACAACAATTGTGCTGCTGATAACAGATCTTTTAATATTACTCTCTTCTCCAATATCAGAGGGTTGTGAGGTTGCCAGACAGGGATATTGAGTGAGAGCTAAGAGTGTCTCCCTCTCGGCTTTGGCCCGCCATCAAACTTATTAAACAGATAATCGAGAGCTGGACTTTCTGTGCCCGTGTGTCATTTATTCGTCCCCTGAATACCGGCTCAATCAGATAGCAGCCAGCCTTTCACAGCGGCAACCATCTCTCTGCATCCGTTGACCTGCACTGGCACCGCCGTGGCCTAATGTGGGCCGCATCGCTGCCTCCGAAACAGCCCTTTTCTTTTCGCTTTAAACCTGCTATTGTTCAATTTGTTTGTATTTTCGCCCGAGATAAAGTCGCGATCTGAAGGTCAGATCTGTAGGTGTGGTCCTGCAGCTCCAAAGAGGCTGTTTTGTGTTTTTTTTCCCTGATTTATCCAGGTAAAAAAGCCTTCAATTCTACAAGCTGATACATGATGTAAGGCTTAATTAGCTTTTTTCATCTTACATAGACGGATTATTTGCAATGATATAATAGAGCAGAGATTAAAGCTTGTCTCAAAGATTTGGAAATAATAAGTTTCTCTTGTGCGCCACTAATCTGTTAGTGTGTGCTCTCATGTGTGTTTTGTTCAGACCCACACAACTGTAGTCCTAAGGGGGAGGGGGGTGTATCCTTGAGCTGTTTCCTGTATCCATGGCGATAGGAAGCCCTCTCCAATCACGTCCCTGTAAACTGTGTTGGGGAAGTGAACGGTTTCCTGCTGTTTTCACGGGCTTCCTCCCTTTAGTGTGAGCTTAAGAATGTATTTGGTCATGGAAAGCAGCTTAGTTCAATTTCAGCGCTCTTGCTGTGTTCAGTTTTTCTGTTTTGAATGTACGCCAGCACATTTGAATGAAGTAAGTTTTTTAAGTTTTTTGCGTTTTCAGGCTAACTTTACTTGAATTCTAATTTGAAGAAATGTTTATCTTAATAAGTAGTATTTGTTTTTTCTGTACTATATTTTTCCACTTCATAGACAGCATTAAATTTGAATGAAACTGAAATCAAAGCCAGAATACTGTTTTGAGTGAAAACAATCTCAAATGTTAGGCGCTTTATATTGGAAAAAGCAGTGGGAGCTTTTTGTGTTACACTTAAACCCTCAGTGAGCGTTTGTCACGACAAACGACATTCCTGCCCGTCGGAAACAAACCCAGCAGCGATGCCGGTTGGTCATCCGGCGACCAGCAGCTCCTCTCTACGGGTTCCTACCCAGCCTGGGACGGCCGCGCTCAGGAGCCGACACCCGAACCTGCTGGACACCCTCCTGGCCCATCTTGGTCCGGGCCATCGTCATCCCTAAGCGAGGAATGGAGGGACGCCTGCAGACCCCGCAGACCCCCAGGAGCTGCAGCTCACCGGGACCTGCTGGGAAGTCCTGCTGGAGCTTGGATGCGAGTGTGGCCGTGCTTCTGGTGACCCTGGTTGGAGCTTTATTTCTGCTGATGCTTTACAAACTCTTACAGCTGAGACACAGGTGTGTGCATGCTATGTTGGTTTTCTTCCCTAATTTCTGTCCCTTTAATCAGAGAATAATTAATGTCTTGCTGGCTTGCAGAGGAATACCTTTCATGGGTGTGTAGTTGGGACACATTGTTTAATACAGCAGCAAATGTGTGATTGACATGTTTGCTACCACAGCGTGTTTTGAACTTGTAACATTTTAGTTGACATAAAATGACTCGTCAGGTGTTTGGTTGTACTGAGCTCCATCCTCGTGTCACTTCTGGTTGCCAAAATGGGTTGAATGAAGGAACACGAGGCAAAAACTGACTTGTGTTGTGTCCTGCAGGCTGAGGTTGGCCGGGGCGAGGAACGCGCTGGAGTACCACAGCTTCCACCACTCCGCCACCTACACGCTCAGACACGCCGCGTTGTTTGAGGACCTGGCGAACAAGAAGGCCCCCGACCCCGAAGCCGCACCTGAGTCCAATCAAACCGCTACCACGGTGACATGCGCAGTCATCAAACCACTTCCGCCCCCACTGCTGCATTCTCCGCCCCCTCTGCCGCTGCCCCCACATCCTTTCCCGCCGCCCCCGATGCACCAGAATCCTCCCACCCTCACCCTCACCCCTTCCGTCTTGGCCTTCGCTCTGCCCGCGATCCACACCAACCCGCCAAGTCCTCACCTGTCGTGGGGCGCGTGCTCAGACGCAGATGTGTACTCTCGGATCGGAGCGTTCAGGCCCTCCAGGCTCTCCAGCCTCTCCAACCAATCCAAAGTCATCCTTTTCGAGCACTCGTCTCTCTGACTTTTGAGGCAGAACATGACTGGAGACGTCGAAAAGACTTCATAGCGAATACCAAAAACACTGCTGACGCATGTATGCATGCATTATGCTGTGTGCTCATCTCTAAGTACTGCACCTTGTATCAGGACGCTGCAAAATTCAGGAGCAACACCACTGTTCTTATGCTTTTTTTCTATTGGGGAGTGGAGTTTTCTTCAGAATTCGGACTAGTGGACGAACTGCATGGAGGTTATGTACTCAAAATATATATATTTTCTCACTTGTTCTGGGGGTTGTATTAAAAAGTTATCGCTTACATGCTCTGCTTGCTCATCATTGACAGCCTTACAACCTCCAGTATTATCTTTTCAACATTTTGGTTTATAGCAACTTTAAGAAGGCAATGGCAGTGATCTGTAAGGTTAAAGCATGTCAAGGCCTCATGTGCTACAACACCGACAGTGATGCAGAATCACAGCTATTGCTCTTCTGCTGAAAGATTCCCTTTAGCCCAAAATCAGCGAGGATCATTCCTGATGAATGAGAAGTCTTGTGCAAGGAGAGGAGTGGTTTAATTGGATAGATACTCACCATCCTGATGGCTTTTTTTTATTGGGTCTGGAGCTTTCCTTAGAGTAGATAAAAGCCCAGAAATGGTTATTGTGAGAATGAGAGTGGGCAAATTGACCCGACTTCTCTTATCTAATTACTTATTTAAGAGTCAGTGATGAAAGATGAGTTGATGAATGATGACACAAGCGTAGAGAAACCTTATACAAAGTTCATATGGTGTAAACTTGGCCAAACTTTCTTACTTAATTCAATGCTCCGCAGTCAATTATATTTTTGTGGGAAAGTCCTGATGTTTGAATTGTTGCAGAGTCCATTGTTTGACTGAATGGGGCATTTCCTCAGTCAGTTTTCCATGCACGTCCCTCCCTTTTTCACACTGTCCTCCATTTCCTCTGATTCTCTCACTGGAGCAGTCTATCAGTGTCTTATATCATGACTCAAAAGAGCTTTTTATATTCAAACAACTGCTCCAATCTCAGACATTAATTTTAAATAGTTCATTCCTCTTTGTAACAGTTTAAGGAAGATAGAATTGTTGAAACTGCAACATTTGAGTAGTGTATCATTGTTGACCAGACTAAGACATATTCAGATCGTCCTCTAAAGCAGCCCAGCCGGCACAACGGTAACCTCTCTCCGTTCTGTTGATCCGACAGCCTGAGCGTACACTAACAAGCTGTTAAATTGCATTTTTGTCTTTTTAACAATGTTTTCCCAGCGAGCTTCTCATTTATAATTCAACAATAGTTTGTAAATTCATAAGGGACCTTGCTGTTACTTTCCGCTGAAAACCGAGACCTCGTGTGCCATTCCTCCTCCTCTTCCTCCTCCTCCAGTCTCCTCTGTATCAAAGTCCGTTAGCGAGGCCGCTGTCTCCTTACTAAAAGCCAGTTAATCCAATCTGTGCATGTACCGCAGCATTGTCTCTTAATTGGTTGTAAGCTGAGCAGGAAAGGCATTTCAACAACATACAGCTCCTGCAATTAAAGAAAACAAAAGGAAGATGGAAGGGATGAAAATGAATGTCTTTGCCCTGGTTGACTTTTCCAGTTTATCCTCGGGATGCTCGTCCAGCACACGTCTGTCCGAGCGGGGAGGAAGAAGCAGACGCAGAAGGGTTCTGTGTTCCATAGATTGTGGATAAATCCAGACGTGTTATGGATGTCAACGTTCTAATCTGCTGTACCAGCCATTCGAAGCAGTTCTACCTCATCCGGAATAATTACACCTTACTAGAAATGGAAAAAAACTCTCTGCTTCAGTCTAGTCAGAGGTAGCAGGACTTTGTTGATCTGTTGAATATGGTGAGCTGATGGTGCGGGCGGACGCTGGGTTCGGTGGTTTGTGTCACTCGATTACAGCTGATAACAGCGACAGTATCATTGCAAAAACGTATAAAGCTGCACCCTTGGGTTCCCCCTCAGGTGAGCACTGTTAGCTCTATCAGCACTTTTGCGGTTGATTAAACTGTGCGGACGCGGCTGAGAGCGGCATTTAGTAAACGCCGTGTCCTTGTTCCTGAAATGAAAGTAACGTTGAACGGATTTGTTTGAAAGTTGACACACTGCTGCCTCATAAATCTGATCCTGACTGCCTATCAATGACTTTGTCCCAGAAGCACTTGACTCAAATTGCAGAGTCTTGGTAATTGCATCTGCCCTCTTCTCATCTCCTGAGAGGAAATGGAATTTTTTTTCCAATTTTCCGTCAGTGTCGGGTCCCCTCCATGCTTCCAAAACAACTTATTGGCTTGTTGCTTAGTGCTGTGAAGTGGAGGCGAGCGTTTTGAAGCCTGGAGTTTGGTGACTTTGCCTTCCCCGTCCTGAATTTCGTCCGTCACCATGCTGTTATTTTTATAGCAACCACTGAATGGAGTTTACTTTATTCAGAATGCTGAATGGTGGCATACAGGCGCCGTATACGCCTCAGCTGTTCTCGTATGTGACTTATGGTCTATTTTACTCTAAATGGACAATGATGTACTCAATGAACATTGCGCTATGTTGAAGCTTTGAAACTAGTAATCGAGGCCATAAACTCATGTTTACAATGTTTACTGAGATCAGAATTCAAGTGAGAATTTGGGTTTAAATTCTGATTGACTTCAATTAAATCAGACTTCTTTTGCCAACGGAGGCGCGAAGGTTGAAACACATGACAAATGCGTAAAATAACTGCTTGTGCTGAAAGGGAATTCAACTTTTTTAGTTTGTTTTTGTTCCCACATATGTGGTTATATGCGGTCAGTGGAGTTGCTCATAGAGACATGTTTCATATTTAATCATACTTGATCAATTTACTAAATATGCACGGGCCGGTTAACTAAACATCTCTCCTGAGGTTGTTTATAGAAACGTAAATTTACCAAAAAATGTTCCATAACTAAATCCTAAATGTAGTTTTGATCGTCCTTGGCAAAGAAACATAGTTCTGAACACAAAATGAAAACACTTATTGAGTGAGGACATCTAGAATTACTTTACCAAGTGACACAATTTGCTGTTTTCAATCGATGTGTGCGTTTGGTATTTTAAAGTGTTGTAATGTTATTTAAACCTTCAAAATGTAAAGGAATTGAACACAGTGGGTTACTGAACAAATCTACTCTCGCAGAGATACTCACTCGTCCATCATCATTGTCCCACTACTACATCAACAGTGTTTTGATTATATATTTTATTCTTCTGCTTTTGTGTCTACACATGTGAGGTTTTTAAACTGGAATTGGACAGATAATTGTCAGCAAGATGAGCATGTTTAAGTCCCACCACAGTGTCCTAGAGGAACTATATTATTTACATCCAAGGTAGGGCTACTGTTCATTGAGTACATCATGGTCCATTTAGAGTAAAATAGACCATAAGTCACATACAAGAACAGCTGAACCGTATCCGTCTAAAACATGACGTAACAAACCGTGACGGTAGTTTAGCCGCTCTTCACGCGTGCTCAGCAAAATACTTTTATAATCAATGGAAATAAAGAAATAGATACTAATTTGGCCAGAGACAGCACAAATGTCGCTAAAGGCACAGCTCCATCAACTTGGATATTAGTTCTTCTCTCAAGGCTTTATATAGGTTAAATGTATTTAACGTACAAAGATAAAAGTAAGAAAGAGCTGAAGATACCCCAGAAAAATACCCCAAAACAAATTTGAGTTTCTGGCGTGAGCTATAGAGTTGGTACGTTGGCAGCAGATGAACACAAACTGCAAAAAACACTCGTGGCACACGTGGCAAAATGATTGTGGTAAAAAATAAAAGGGCAAAATGTGCAAAATGTGCTTCGCAACACAGGGGACCAGTAATAAAGCTAAAGATGTTAAGATTGTGCTGAATGTAGTGCGAGAGGAAAGGTTATGAGGTTATTAAATCTGACCTTCAACTGCAAAATGTATGGAGTGGCCACAATCCGCTGTGATATCTTTTTATAAACGCGTTAAGTTGGCAGGTCCAAACAACATTACTGTCCTGCTTTAGTAAGTCAAACAAAAACACACCCTCAAATTTCCAGTAAAGCATATTTAGTGCTTGTTAGTGGATATTAGTAGGAGACAACATGCCACTTGTCCCCGTATGTATGAACAGTAAATAAACATGGAATGGATGTGTGTCACACTATTGTGGTTATGAGCACATGCAAGTGTTGAGAGTAGCAGCCTCTTGTGGCTACAGGGGAAGCATTGCTGCATGAAAGTAAAAAGTAAGTAAAACTATTGTAAAGGATAATAAGTATAATATATAAATTGTTGTCCTATACTGTGCAAAATATACTTAAAATGTCCTATGGCTGTATAAAACAATATGTTTGTGACAGGCTAATGTTGGCTAATAAAACAAATGAAATCCTGTGATATTGTTATTTTTCATGGGTAGCTTAGCTAAATAACCCAGCTAATTATTTCTACGTAGTCATTTGGCACTGAGGATATTTATTTAATTATTTTTGTATGCTTTTATTTCGTTAATTATTAGCTTTACATTTTGTCTGGGCAAGCGACTGACAAGCCCTGAATAGTTTGGCAGCCAGCAAAACTTCAGAACTGTCAATTGTTCAGGAAAACGTGACTCACTTCGAATGCAGAGGGTCACGAAAATTTTAAAAAAAGACAATTTTCCGTTAATTGAGTTTATTTCCAAAAATGTTTATTCTCCTCATGCATTGAATTTCTTTTCTTTTAAGCGCTATTTAAAATGAATAATTGTTTCATTTTCAAACAGAACAATCTGCAGCTCCTGGTCCTTCTGTTCCTTTGAGCTTGTTCACAAAAGCGATGAAAAGGAAAAGACGAGGACGGCTTTTCTGGCTGCTCGGCTGTGAAAGCCCGTATCTTAATTCTTCTGACAGCAGCACCCCATCGGCGCCTCCGCAAGGGAAACATGACTGAATAGTCCAAGAGTGTACGGATGAAAATGAATCCACACTCTTAACCTCCTCCAATAGACAGGCTGATTACAGCCAAGTGCTCTCTGCGGCAGTCTCTCAGGGAATGAGCCACGCAGCGTAACAGTGTGAGACGTTCATATGGTCCTGCACATTCCACAGGTGAAATGCTAAATGCCTTAACAAGCAGGTGATGTTGGTCCTCAAGCTGATGTTTTGAGAAATTGTGTTTTGAAATATCACTTTTCAAAAAGGACTATTGGTGACTGTTGGTTTCGAAGTGTGACCGTACTACAAGAAAATGTTGTTCAACTCAACTGACATTTTTCTTCAATGTCTTCAATAATTACTCTGTGATATCGACACGTTTGCACATGCTCAGAGGTGTGAGCAGTCAGCACTTGATATAGTACTTTACTTTACTGTTAGCCAAAGTATTTTACAGCCCAACAACATATTTTATAAATACTTAGCAGTTCAGTTACACTGTGGAAATGGTGATTTAATTTGACAACTGATGGTTTTCCATCACACATCCATCCATTTAGATGACTGCCCTGCAACAGAAAACAATACATTACTTGTTATTTAGGTGTCTGTTATCTGACTGCTCATGCTACTTGTCATGTTTGGGACCGTACACATGCTGTAAAGATACCGAGGCCCGGACCTGTTTGTTTGGATTATGGTCCTTTAATCAATTATTTATTCATTATTTGTTTCAATACATTGTGTGTGTATAAACTCCCTCCAGGTTAGACCATCAAGTCCAAGAAAAGACATTAAGACTTGAGTTCATAATCCTCTTTGTTGACTGCAGCACTGGTAATGTGTCCGTAGATCTCGGGATCAAACACTTACTTTAACCAATTACCTTTTAGGGGACAGGCCCTCATTCCCTGAAGGAAAGCTTTGTTCAACTTCATTATAAATCCTTGTGGACATTTGTATCTGTCTAATTGCAGATATGTCAGGCTGGATTTGGGGGATATGGCTTTGGAATTGATGCTCAAGAAATACAGACAGCCTTGAATTAAAACTTTTCTTTTAAAGTTTGCATCATAGCCTCATTGAAGCAAGCTGAAATAGAACAAAGGCGTGTGTGATCCTGCCAGACGGAACTGAAAAGGATCAGTCAAAAAAACCTTTTAGGGTTACTTATTGGAAAATAAAAGGAACTTTAAAAAAAAAGTTTGTGGCACTCTTTTCCAGAAAGGATCACAGGACACGGACCCGCTGTGCATTAGCAGTCGCTGCGTAACACTCCAAGCCGAAGAAGAATGAAAAACACACCTGCTTATTGTCTGCGGTAGCCAGCTGTGGGCCCCTCACACACACCTCTGTATTCCTGCCTAGCAGCGGGCCTTTGATCAGGTAATTGCCCCTCCGGCCCCCGGAGTTTGCATCCACCATATGTCGCTATGGCGACCACCTCTCCAGCAGCTATCCGCGCGCCCCCTTCACAACCTTTTTAAGATGGACTTATACGTTATGAGCCTGTGAGTGATGGAGGAAAAGGGCAAATAAATTACGCAACAAGAAGTACCTCAACCACGTCAACAGCAACCTTGTTTGGTGAAGGAAGATTTTTTTTTTTCTTCTATTCAACTGCCCGTCTGTTATCCCACCCGGCAGACCCCCACCCCTAGAATGATAAATGGCTTTTATTTTAATACTGTCATATGTGTTTTCTTTGTTTCACATCACATCAGCCCTGAGACAGCAGCACATCCACACACGCGTGATATGAGAGGATCAGAGTTTGCAGGTGGAGCCCAGTAGAAGCACTTTGGGGGCTCAGGATGCTGTTTGAAGACGCATTGGAGGGTGAAAAATGTTTATTTTGCGGGGGATGCAATCGTGAGAAGACCTCAACACAAAAACTAATATCCCACTGGGATTCATTTAAAAAGACCACCTCCTAACATCAGTATTTTCTTTCAGTTTCCTTCATGTAACTCTAAGATATGTAAAATCATGCACACTGTCCGACAGGACATGGAAGTTAAACATTGAAATATTTTTCCAATTAAGTACAATTTTCCAAAGACCTTTTCATCTATCTTAAATATTCTAATAAATAGGGCTTTTCCTTAAGTTATTTGGTATCTTTTGAAGATACAATTGTGGGGGTTTAAACAATGCTTACCTGCTAGGCCTTAACTTTTTTACTATCCCACTAATTGTTACATTTGGTTGATTATTTAGACACAGGGAAATAAAAATCTCATCCACACTTGGAGCAACAGTCACATATTCCAACTGGCACCTTCCATTTGAAAAAAGGTGTCACATTGTGAGCTAGATGTTCACTGCCATAATTGCAATGTTCTTTAAAATCCTGTTTCACACAGGGAGAAAAATGGCCCGGAGATTGAAGAAAACTACAAAAGCAGATTTTTTCACATCGCAGTGCAGATGTTTTATGACAATGTATAGTAAATTGTGCCGTGGATGAGAAGATTAGCTTGAAAATGCATTCTCAGTTGAAGCCTTAATTTATTTTTCAATTGCCTATGAAGTGTTTGGACATGCGGCGTAAAATATAATGAATTTGGCGGTGCATTGCAACTTTTTGTTTATCATTATCTATAAATCTTTTCATTTATTTTCATATTTTGCAATGGAATACAAGAAAATAATCAAAACATAATCATCAGACTTTCAAAAAGCCCAGGGTGACGTCACTCCTATCTGACCAGCAGTCCTAAATCCTAAAATACAAATGAATATAATGTTAAACAAAGAACATTATTTTATCTTAAATAACAAATTGATTATCAAAATTCGTATTGGTTGCTTTCTGCTGGTTGAGTACAATTCTGCTCTATAGAATTTATTCCCCCTTAATTTATCACACATTTGGGAAACCTAATCATTTGGATCATTTTTAAAAATAAATATCTGTGTTTGAAATCATGACTTCTGAAAATGTATAAAAAAATGTTTCTTTATTGAACATTACAGAACAGGATGAGGAGCACGGAGCTTTCAATCAGACGTCACAGCGTTATCTATGCCTACACGGACATCTTCTGGGAGCGTTTCAGCACTGATAATAATGATGATGATCAACAGTAATTATTGTCAGCCCTCCTCTGTGATTTTTTATCATAATTCAGTCTTCAAAACTATCTCATTTATAGGCTCTTGGTTGTTTAGGGCTGCTCCTCTTCTCAAATCAACGCCCGTCATGGTCTGCAGAAATGACACTTGATTATTTTCTTGAAAGCGCTCTGAAAGTCTTTGTTGAAGTACGCGTATATGATCGGGTTCAGTAAAGAGTTGGAGTAGCCAAGCCAGTTAATTACATCCTCCAGCCAGCGGGGCATGTAGCACGACTCCTGGCAAAAAGGCATGACCAGGGCAACGATGAAGAAGGGCAGCCAGCAGAGGATGAAGGTGCCCATGATGATCCCCAGAGTCTTCACCGTTTTGCGCTCCCGGGCCATCGCGATCTTCCTCTTCGCCTCGGTTGCCTTTTCGTGCCTGCTCTCGAACAAAGGCACGCAGCTCGGGGTGTTGGGCAGCGGCAGGTTGCCTTTAAAGTTGCTGTGAACTTCAATGATCTCCAGAGACTCGCCGTCCTCCGCGTGTTTCACCGCGCCGTTGACGCTCGGCAGCGGCCGGGGCTCAACGCTCCTCTTCCAGCTTTTGCCCTGCGCGTCACCGGGAGTCTTTTTGTGGAACATGGCAGGAGAAAGCGCCAAGCAGGAGTCGGACACTTTCTTTTTCTCCGTTTTACGCACCGTCCTCCTGATGCGAAACCTGGCGGCTTTGAAAATCCGTCCATATAAAACAAGCATTAGCGTCAGCGGGATGTAAAAAGCCCCAAAGGTCGCGTATATTGTGTACCACGGGTCTTGCCTGATCTTGCACTGCTTGGGGTTTGCCCTGTCCTCTGCCACGCTGCCGGGCTGGGAGCGCATGATCAGCATTGGGCGGCACTGAGATGGGAGAAACCTACGAGCCAGGTGACACTGATGAGGACTGCGGCTCTCCGCGGCGTCCCTCTTCTTCATGTACTCTATGGGCTCGGTTATGGCCCAGTATCTGTCCAGAGCGATGGCGCAGAGGTGCAGGATGGACGACGTGCAGCACAACACGTCCAGAGAGATGAAGATGTCGCACGGAATCTGCCCGAGAGTCCACCGGTTCAACACCTGGTAAAGCGCCGCCATGGGCAGCACCAGCACCGACACCATCAGGTCGGTGACAGCCAGAGAGCCAATCAGGTAGTTGGCCACGTTCTGGAGAGACCGCTCCAAGGCGATGGCCGCAACGACGCACGCGTTCCCAAATATTGCGCACAGGATGAGCGCGCCAAGCAGGAACGATGTGACCACTTGGTAACTCAGCTTCACCTCCTCGTCTTCGGGTTTGGGCGTTTTGTTGGAAGAGTTTTCAAACTGAAACCACGATGTCGTGTTGTTCGTGCCCTCCATTTTTGGTGAACTCGAAGTGTTTGGAGAGCTTCTGTTACTTGATGAAGAGCCTAGTGCGCAACTCACCGTCCCGCCTTGAAGAGCACATAGTGGACTGTTGGACTGCCTGGTGCAGCAGAGAGGGTCTGAACTGTGAGTCTCGGCTGCTGACAGAGAATGATGCTGTGTATTTATACCAGTGATGGAAAATGCGTCATTTGTCTGCGAGGATGTAACGGAGTGGGCTGTTTGCGTCTGTTTAGTCAGCAGCCGAGGCATGATGTGGGAATGATTGAACAAACATAGAAAACCTTTGATATTTACTTAAATGTTTTCTTTTTATTCATGCATTTATTTAAACATCTCTTTTGAAATCAACGGGCCGATTTTCTGAAAAAAATAATTTCTTTAAAACAACTGGATTGTGCCATTTCGTTTGAGGAGAAGCTTTCCTTTATGTCAGATGAACATGGTCTGAATCTTGCTCTGTTGCAACCCAGATACGCTGGGTTGCATTGAGAAATAATAAAAAAAGACGGAATAAATAATTCATGATAATGCATTGTAAACGCACTTATATTAGCTGTGATAACAACAACAACTGTATGTTATGTCATTATTCTCCCGTTTGTTTTTGCCCCCTTTGTTTGTTTTTCAGTCTTTGTATTAGGTTACAGTCGTTCATGTACTACTTGCCATTAAAAATATGAATGATAATAACTAAATGTGTACATTAATTTGAGTATCGAATGAATTTGCAGATTTTTTTATTTTAAAACGTAATAGTTGTTGGATCATATTTTTAGATTTTTTTTCCTCTGCGTTCAGCACCATGGTCAGCGCTCCGGAGCCGACAGGTTCGACACTGCCACCTGCCGTTGGTCGACTCTCATAGCACTTACAAACTATTAACCCTTTAACTGGCGCCTCATTTTTGGTCCATCAGACTATCCGTAGATTCCCCACTTCGCGTGACGTCACAGCCCCGCTCTGAAGCGGAAAGGCTGCATAACTTTCTTGTTTTTGAGCGACGGGTTCCTTCGTGTCCGCGACTGTTAAAGTCCTCAGAGCTTTCAGGTAAGCGGAGCACGTACAAAGAAAACATTCACACACTGAGTGGCATTATCATGAGAATGCCACAAGATATTACGTTAACGTCTGTTGCGCTAGCTTAGCAATACAATGTTGTTATTGCCACCAAGTGAGCAATTTCCACCTGCTGCAGAATCAACACCTGAACTCTGACACACATTTATTTTAACATTGGGGGTCTTTAGAGGCCAGTTGCACAGAGTTAGGCTTCTTTGTGCGCTTCTTGTTCTGGGCTGTTAAGAGTCCATCAGTGCTCCAGCGATCATGTTTAACCAGCTTTTAACACCCCCCCCCCCTTACAGAGCTGTGACCACAACTTCACCCCCTCATCAGCTCAGCAACTATGACCCAGACTTATCGTCTCTTATCAGCATCTGATAGAAAGTTTGTGGATGTGTGATTTCAGTTGTGTGTTCTGTCCCCTTTCGTCTGGACTGAAGATGGAGAGAAGCATGCTGCGCTGCAGGAGGTGTCGCAAAGGCGTCTTAGACTCCAGCTGTCTGTCAATGGTTGGTGGAAATCTGATGTTCTAACTCCTTTTGGGGAATTTCTGATTCTCTTATTCATTGTTTTAGCCGGTGCTGAAAGGAACAGTCGATTAGTCAGTTTGCCGGTCACCAACAACAAGTTCTACAAGCCAGAATGTCAAACTTTCTCAGTTTTTATTTAATTGAAAAAGCCCATCTGAATAAGGATGTTTCTCATTATTATCTCCCGTTTAGAAGACTAAATAATTATTCAGTAAATCTCCCCATAACTGAGAGCGTTGATGGAATTCAGTCATCATTACTTGCCGTCGTAATCACACCAAACAGTCCCTGTATGTAGTTGCTGTGGGACGGCAGGGCTGGGAAAGCCCAAAGATAACAGCTTGTGATTCAGTCATAAAAAATAAAAAAAAGATGTGTGCTTATCAGTGTCAGAGAAACGGCGTCTGATGGGAGCTGTACTCGCTGATTGTGTGTCTCTGATGTGGAAGCAGGTTGAGGCCACAGATGAAAGCTCATCGGCTGTTTGCAGCATTTGGCACGTAAATATCGACACGCTGCCAGAGTGGATACTGACCTCAGTTCATACGGTAAGTGTCACAGCGCGGACGTGCACCCACTGCACCCAGTCGTTTACTCACTTCCGAAAGGGGAAGGGAGGTAAGAAAATGTTTTCTAATTATACGCTTTCACATCTTAAATGGTATTCAATTAAATGTATTTTGTCATCTATGCCTATTTTGAAAATGTTAAACATTGAATTTTCCATTTTTTTCTGCCTAAATTGTACAATTTTTCACAGTTGGTGATAATAGTCCTTAAGTGTGTTTCCTGACACATATTTTTAGATCTTAACGTCTTTTGTATTAACTCTTATCTTTTTTATTTTTAAACTTCAATTTAAATGTCTTTCCTCTAGTTTCATAAAATAAAATGAAACTGAATTTACAGCTGCTCCACACATTTGTTGTTATATGTTATTATGTTATCTGATTTAACTTAACTTTTTTTAAATGGGAGGATTTGCTGCTTTTTCATATATTGCAAAGTGACGGGTTTGGGCAGTTTGGCCGACAAAACATGGAAATTGAACAGGTCCCCTTGGGCTTTTTTCAGTGTTCTTTCTATTTCATCTGAAAAAAATAATTTCCTCAAAAATAATTTTATCTTATCTTATTCACACCATTGGAAGATGTTGATTTGTATCTGTATCTGTTACAAATATCTGTTTTCCGTCCAGGCTCAGTGGAGTGTCGGAAAACTGAACTGCCACAACTGCGCCGGTCGTTTGGGAGGCTTCAACTTTGTCAACCGCAGTTTATGTCCCTGCGGCCTGGACGCCACTGTCCACCTCAGCAAAAGCCGCGTGGACCGCGACCACAAGCGCTGCGTCCTCATCGTCCGGCCGAGGAGGACGAGGCCTGCGAAGGAGCGGCCTGGTCCGCTGGCAGACGGCTCCCGGACCAGCGAGCCCGGCACTGAACTCAACGGGTCACAGCCCGGCGGTGCCGCGGTCGTGTCCCACATAAGTTCTGTTGAGGCCTCGAACTCACCGCCGGACGCCACCCAGTCCTTTTCTCTCAGTCCTCCGCTCTGCGACTCCCACAGCAGGAGACGCTGCAGTGTGGACGAGGATTCCGCCGCCAGGCCCTCGTGCTTTCGCCCCGCGGGCCTGGCGGTCGGGTCCGCCGTAGAGAGGGCGAGTAGAAGAGCCCGCGAGTCTACGGAGTCACCCGTCCTGTGTCCCGCGGGCCAGCAGGTTGACGGAGACGGGGAAGCCCCGGTCAGCGGCGTCCTCTGCCGTTCGTTTGTCTCCGGGAGGACATGTTCACAGCTGCTGCAAACCGTGGAGGACGTTGAGTCCTCTTCTTCTCCTGAGGCCGCGGAGGTCCACGAGGAGGCTTCTATCTCAGCCCTGTTGCACGGAGGGGGGTCCATCTCTGACAGCGAGGACGTGCTGGTATGTTGCTGGAATTTAAAAGAAAATAAATCTGCTTTAATAGGGACTAAAGATCAGACATCTGTAGAGGCGGCCTGGAAACATTAAACAAAGTCACTTCCTTTCCTACGGTTACGGTGATTTACGTCCTTTTGTGCGTCGTGTTTTTTCTGCTGTTTAATCCGTGTCATGGATCAGGGATCCTGATGTGTGTGTGTGTGTCTGTTTGACCTCTCTCAGCCTCGAGGCTTCATGGCGCCCGCAGCCTCAAGCAGGCCGAGCAAACGGGAGAAGAACCGCCTGAAGAGTCTGCGGAGGAAACAGCGGAGGAGAGAGCGATGGCTACACAGCCGGCTGGAGCAGGTGAGCGAGCAGCAGCAGCAACACTGTTCTAATCTAAATGAGCACTACTGAGCAAACCGTGTGTAATCACAGCAAAGAAAAAAAGCCTTGGAAGGTATGGGATATTTTTGCTGTTCTTAGAAAGTTTCAGTGCTCCTCAGAAGCTGAAGAAAGGTACAGAGGAAGCCGTCCTATGAGCGTGCTTCATGTGTGATTAAATGTAATGTCCTGTCCAAACAAGAATAGCTTCATTTCAATCGCTTGCAATTTACAAGCACAATGCAAGAATAGACATAAAAGTTGTGGTTTTTATTATTGTTATCATTATTGTGTTGAATGGGACCGAATGATCTAGTTTGTAATCACATAAAAGAATATGACATAAATTGGATTGTAAATCATGAATGAAATAATGTGGAGGATTTCGCTTGGAGCTCTTTAAAAAACAACACTATGTTGTAGAATGAGTCATTTCTGAGATGAAGCAGAAACAGCGATTTGATGCCGTTGTAACCGTTTCTGGAGGACGAACACCGAGTGACGAGTTGTAGAAGATCTTTCAGAAGGAACGTTAACGCTGTGTGTGTGTGTGTGTCTGTGCGCCTCCCTCCAGCCGGAGAGTGCGAGCGCCCCACAGTCGGACAGTGAGGAGGAGGAGGAGGGGGAGGACAGCGAGGGCCTCACCTGCGCCGTCTGCCTCGATGTCTACTTCAGCCCGTACAGGTGTCAGCCCTGCGGTCACGTCTTCTGCGAGCCGTGTCTCCGCACGATCGCCAAGAACCGGCCGACAAACACGCCCTGCCCTCTCTGCCGCACCCTCATCTCACACGCCGCCTTCCACAAGGGTGAATGTCCCCCTCTCCCCTCCCCCCCGCGCACCAAAACACCACACTGGAATATCCGACGGAGCGTCCTGTGTATGTCTGGGAGCAGGTTTCTGACCTTTTAGAGACTAAATGATCAGGTGGTGTCCCCCTAACGCCCAGATGCTGTGGTTCACACGGTCCCACGACCTGTGCCGAGCTCTGAGTAGCTTCTTAGGGTAGCTGAACATGTGAATACTCGACCGGACAGACTACCCTCCCCCCAGCACAGGGTGATCCGTCGGAGATGATGGGCGGTGCAGTAATGAGGCGTAATGGCCTCTATAATACACGGACTCTTGATAATGACGGTACACACTGTTCCCTTCCCTCTTCAGAGCTCAACCAAACAGCCGCGGCCTTCTTCCCCAAAGTGTACTGCGCTCGCAAGCGGAACTTCCAGAATGCTTCGTGTGCAAAATGGTCCCTGCCCAGCTGTCGCAAACGCTTCCGAAGCTTCTGGGGTGAGAAAAGAGTGTGTAAAAGTTGTGTCAGCATTTTTTTTAAATGTCTACAAAGTATAATTCATCCTTTTTGACTGGGAAATTGTGCCAGCTGAGACCGGTTTGACTTCAATACGAGCCTTCATCAGCAACCTGTGCCAACAGCACGGCATTAAATCCAACATTTATTGCATTAGTATCACATAACATCATATCTACTTAGTCTGTTTCTTCTAGTGCAACAAGAAGGTCAAAAGGTGACTGCTTTCCGATGGAATGCCCCTGACCGTATTTTCACCCTGCCAGGTCGTACCTTGTTACTTCATAAAAGCAGAACTTTTTATTGCATTCCTGCTACAAGTTAGTGGCGATAATAAATGTTATCTCTTCTCTTGAAGAAGAGAATCCTACAAATGACCAAAACAGACAATAAAACAGCAGTGATAAGAAATCCAGAGAGATGAATATAATATTGGTAACTTACTGAAACTTTATGCAACAGGTTGTCAAATGTACAAATCCCTTGTGTGATGGATAATTATATATATAAATTATATTTAATTATTTGAAAGAACTGCTGCACAAACATCTATCGAGTATTTTAGCCTTACAGTCCATGGAGATACGTAAAATAAAAATGAATAATTTAGTACATTGTGTGACTCAAAACTGCAATGTGCAGACTACTCTGGAATAATTAAACCTTTTAGAATTTTGATTTTATAAACTCCTGATTTTAGATTATTACTAAAGAAAATGAAATGAAGATTATACTTTTAATGGCCATTTAAAAAAAATGATTAAAAAAAGATAATATTCCTTTGCTCGCAAATCAGTTCAGAGAATTTTAAATTAATTTTAATTTAAAACTTTGCAGACGGTCATTTTCCCTCCCTGTCTGCAGGCGAGCAGCGGCAGGCGGCGGGGAGACGCTGGCACCTTTTCCACGGAGGATTTGCGGACTTCACAGACGTGCGCGGCTGGCTCTTCTACATCGGCCTGGTCATCGTCCACATCCACTCAGTCAACTGGATCCTGGCTCTGCTCTTCCTCTTTTGCCTCCTGTACTACTACTTATTTTAGGACAGCGAGGCGTCCTGTAGATTAGGACTACAGGTTTATCTTCTTTTGAGTTGTTTTTTTGTAAGTCAGCAGTTACTTTAGTGCTAAAAGTATCAAGAAGTGGTTTTGACCTGCATGCATCGCAGCAGGGATCTGAACATTAGAGACGTTGGCATGTTTCGAAAAGTTTACAATATGCTTCTGCCAGCGTGATAAGTGCAATATACACAGAGAGGCGACCTGATCTACAGAAATAGTGCGTCTAGATTCAGGAAGCCCGAAGCGGAGTGGCCTTACTGTCCAATGATCAATGAACTGTTGAACTGTTCAATGCAGGAAAACATCACAGACGTTGCAGTTTTAGTAAAACCTCTGGTTTTTGGTACAACTATTTGGTGATAGTGGCGGCGATGATCAGACAGACAAACATTTGATTGTTGCCTGATTTAATTTGACATTTGACATTTTTTGTCCAACAAGGAATGAATATTTTAGGGGAATAAGCTTGCTCCCTGCCTTAAGAGAGGTGCCCTATGTTTAATCTGCTCATCCAGTAGAAGAATGAAATTGAAGTTGATGGAAAAATCAAATATATTGCCTTTTTCAAATCTCCAAAAAAGAAAAACTCTTAAGTCGATATAAACTGTGCGACTTGCAAGCGGCCAAGACAATGATCCAAATATACGGGTGCTTTTTCATGGTTCACAACAACAACAATAAAGCTCATTCTGGCATAAAAAGCATATAAAACAAAATCACTCTCCCATTCATTGAGCGGCTTCAGACAATATTTAATGACATCACATCTCTGGCTTCTGGCGAGAGGGGCACTATTCCGCGTTTGCCAAATATCGATCATAGACCATGAGAACAACATCATTTTAGGTTCATGTTCCCCTTTTAACGACCAACGCACTAGATGCCCTTCATCCTTTCGGGTTACTACAGCAACCGCCCTGTCGCAGAGATGGCGCCTGCACCGGCTCTGCCTTCTGGATGCCCCTAAACAGTTAACGATCAGTCGGGAGGGTGACGACTTGTTTTGCTGTTGGCTCGTTCCGTGAATCCTCCTCACACGTGAGTGCGCGCGCGCGGCGGAAGACCGAGGAGCCTCCCTCTCGGCCTTCAGGAGGGGCTGAAGGTGACTCTCCTCTCCTCTCGTCTCCTCTCCTCCCCTCTCGGCTGGCTGGGATGCAGAGCGAGCTGCTGGGGGTCCGTCCGGCCCGCTACACGGCCCCGCTGCGGGGATAACAACGCACGCACACACACACACACACGCGCAAGCAGCCGAGGGCGGCTTTGCGTATTAACCAAATAACCCCGCGACTCTTGCTGCTTTTCTAGAGGACACGGCAGCTACCAGAACAAAAAGGGGGGGCTACTCTCTACTGCTCGCCCACCCCCTCTGTCTCTCTCTTTCGCGACTGCGTCTGGCCGGTTCTCCGCTGGTGGGTGTGCATGCATGTGTTCTGCACCGCACGGGCGGAAAAAGCGCCCGAGATCTGCGGGGAGCGTCTTCCCCACCGGCAAAGTGGCGCAGACGGAGCCGGAGCGCCGGGAGAGCGCGGAGGGGGCCGTGGAAGGCAGCAGGATGGCGAGTACTGAAATAAGTCCTCTCTGTTCACGATTGGCTAAAATGCTCCGCTTTAAAGCGCATACTGATCCGCACCGGAGGACAGGTGCTTTTTATAAAAACATTTTTTTTTTTAAATTAGAAAATAGCCGGTTTATATCTTGCACAGGTGCAGCAGCACTTTGCGCAAAAAAAGAAAAATATAATATTGCAGGCTTTCGCAGTCGGTGGTGACGGTGTGTTTGCTGTGCAGGCAGTGCAGGAATTCAACACCCTCGTGGCGCTGTACCGCGAGCAGGTCATATCCGTCGGCGAGATCTCCGCCGACTGCCCGTCGCTGCGGGCTCAGATGCACCACACGCGCTCCAAAGGTTGCTCCATGGCCCGGGCGGCGTACCGGGACCTCACGGTCATCTCTGTGTCAGGGTAAGGAGGCAACGCGTGTCCTTTTATTTGCTAAACCCACACTTACCTTCTTAAACAATAATGCAATTCAACGAAATGTTTTGCCAAACAAAGTTGCTGAGTGATGGACAGATTTATGATTTATATGCATGAGATAATACAGTGTGAATAAAACAAAAACACAGTGAAATAAGGCACAACACGGTGGGTTAATAGACCCTTCAACTGTGACGTGACTTTGACAAAAGTTCCCTGCAAGGTGATGGTGTTCATCTGTAATGAAATCCCACATCAATCTGCTGCATGCTTGAATGTGAACACAGCGGCCCGCGTCTCTGTTTGTCTTATTGTGTCTTTGTCTCGCTCCGCCTTTCCCTCCTCCCTTTTCATCCCCTCTCCCTCTCACCCCTCCTCCTCCCCTATCTCTTCATGCTGCAGTCTGGAGGACGGAGAGATCCACCCCGAGATCTGCCGGCTCTTCATCCAGCTGCAGTGCTGCCTGGAAATGTTCATAACAGAGATGCTGAAATCCATGTGCCTGCTGGGGGTGCTGCAGCTGCACAGAAAAAGTACTATCCCCTAAAATACCGCTAAAATTATGATTCCACAGGAACAAACGGTGAAAACAAACGGTTGCTGTTTGAAAAGCCAATTTTGAAACGTAACAACAGAAAACACAATCGGATGAACATTACCTGTGGATTTGTGAAAATCACACAAGCGCACACAGTCAGAAAATATAACCACCTCCAGATTAAAGTGACTTATGGTGTATTCCATTCCGCTGCTTCAGCTGTGTATTGTCACAACGTCCCCACTCGGTAATCTGATTACAGGTGGTCAGTCCGTCATCTGCCTCCTGATATTAGGATACATGTGTCACACGTGTACATTTAGCCAAATAAGTATAATTTCCGTTTGCACAAACCCAAACCAAATTCCTCCCAAGATGTCTCAAATGTGACACACTGCATCTCCGTGGGCTTCTTGTGTACAAAGCCGGCTCACGTGATTGAGAACCAGCTGGCGGTGAGAAAAGAGAGGAACAAAAAGGAGCGTGTGTTCACATGCACCGCAATGTGTCACAGGGACCCTTTGAATCCGACACACACATCATTACATCCATTAGTAACCCCTGTGCTTTTCCTCCTCCGAATGTCTGTTGTTATTATCATACATTGAATTTACTTTTCACAGTGGCAAATATAATATCAATGACCAGAGTAATTATTCAATTCAAACACTAATTGAAAAAAAAAAAGAAAGAGGCAAACAATAGGCTGAGCAGAACCTCGGAAGAGAAAGAAAACCCACCAAAGACCTAATTAGAAAATATGTACTCAGAAGAGCAGATCAACTTTTGCCTTGAAACGCTTTGAACGTGTTTTGAGTTGTGCTCCGCAACGATGCCTCAGCTCTGCCGTCTGTGTTCGGACCGGAAGGAACAGAATCAGAACCCAGGTTGGACTTCAGGGTGGATGAGAGCTCGGACGTTCCCATCCTTGATGACCGGTCCTCCTCGCCCACCGACTTTCCTCAGGAGCAGTGGCTGGTGGGAATGGATATTCAAAACATAGAGAGGTATACATGCACCTTATTTATAATGTCATTTATTACTTTGTTCAAGTGTGTTTTTTAAACTGCTCTGATTTTAGAATAACTTCAAATGCGCAAACTGCACATACGAGCCAGTGTTTCTTTGTTTCCACAGAGACATGCGAGAGATGAGAAACCTACTCAGCAAACTCAGGGACACGATGCCATTGCCGCTGAAAAACCAAGGTGTGTAATATAAAAAATGTAATTATTCATCAGTTTATGGCTGTATTTTGAAACTATACCTTCCTTGATTTTTTCTGAATTTTAAACAAATGCATCAATGGAATGAGACGTTATAGGAAAAAATATAATGAACAAATGTGATCATTTTCATTTCAATTTACATCAAGATTGTTTAAAAATAATCTTCTGTGGCGCAGAAGTGACTCCCACAGTGACTCCCAACCTGCACCCATTAAAAGCAGTCAGAATCGAGGCCGAAGCCTCACTAATCGTTGTGTGCGTTTGAAAAGAAAGATGGAAGTTCAACCAGCTGGATCTGCTGCGTGGAGAAAAGCACAATCTGCCGTGTTTACATCGTGGGCTTCGGAGGGAATGTGTTAATTAGAGGAGCTGGTGAGAGGAGTCTAGCATCCCGTGGACGGAGCCCAGCTGTCTGTTGTCCTGCTTCCTGTCTTTACGCTTAATAAGCCAAACCGCGACAAGCAACTCTCACACGTTTTGTGAGGCGCACGCTCTCAAAAAAGATCTTTCTTGAGACCAAACTGGGAAAAAAACAAGTGAAATGAATGACAAACTCAAAAGATAAATCAAAACATCTAGTGAAAATATGAATTATAAACAAGGCAAGAAATTATAATTATCTCACAGACATGAGTACCACTTCGTCGTCTTGGTTCCAACTCGCTCTGTGTTTCCATCACAAAGTGTTTCTGTGTTCCAGACGACAGCAGCTTGTTGAATCTGACTCCACACCCGCTGATCAGACAGAGGAAAAGACGCTTCCCCGGACTCTGCTGCATGGTGTCTGGCTGAGAGCCTGAAGGCCCCACTACAGGCAACACACGAATAAGCGATTCTTATTACTCATTTCATTATTTCATTTTTATTTAGTCACGGTATTGGCGACCATAATATCTGAAATTGTAATCTCGTAGTAACCGTTGAACTGTCTGATGAAATGCCATTTGTCTTTTTCACCTTGATGGAAACTTTTTCAGCCTCTCCGTCATTCGGGTCGTGAGTTCTGCGACCCATCGGTTTGGGCTTGAGTTTGTGTTTGTTTGTTTTTTTCAAATGCATTTTATTAATAAATATTCAGAGTAGATAGTTAAATCCAAATTATAACGTTAGCTCTGCGCAGAACTCCATTTTGTTTGTCGGGGGAGTCGTCTTTGCATTTCTCTTTTTTCTGTCTCTCTTTTACTGATGCAGCCATTCCAACCTATTACATTTTTCATTATGGAAGAATAAAAATGTACTTATTCCGGCTATGCACTGACAGTATTTGTTTTTCAGCTGTCTCAATGTATTTATGTCACATCTTCATGTTTGAAGGTGTCAACATGTGTCTTTAGTCCTGATGACTTCATGATGTAATTCAACTGAACATCATCCAGCAGAGGCTCTTGCCAAGTGAGTCTCTACTTGCCTGCGTGGTGTGAAATCCTGCAGACAAAGCAATTCATCTACGTTCTTATCATGCTTAGTTGGCTCCTATAATTATTGCATTTATATTTTCCACAAAAAAACAAAAAGCATTTTTAATGTATCTTACAGTTTGTGTCTAAAGATAAACAGAATACCAAACAAACACAAGCAGCTGCTATAAAGCGATATTTTAAGCATATTGTCAGCCGTTCAACTGCCGGACAGCAGCAATGATGTAAAATTTTGTTGGTTGTTCCACTAATAGCAAATCATAAAAGTCACTGTGAGAAAAGATACAGATGTATCTTTCAATGCTCCATCAGAGCAACACGTGAGAGCATCTAATCTCATTTACCTGATAATAACACATGACATTTTTGTAAGTGAAATTTCTTTCTTTTACTTTTTCCCATATAACTACATCATAATTATAATATTATGGTTAGCCTTGATGCTCAAAAAAAATAGATGAGTCATCAGTATGTTGGTCATTCTGTCGACCACTTTGGAGGTTCACCATGTGACATTTAGTTATATGTCATAGCCGCAATAACAGTTTGCTATATA